AGAGGCAAACGCAATGGTAAAAAATATTTCAAACCTGCTCATGAAGTATATGAAATGCTTGCTTTACTGGTAAAGTTACATCCAATGCAATAACCTGTAAAGATTTCCCATCACCTTAGACAATTTCCTACTGAGATAGAAGAAGCTAGTCTCGTCGATTCTTTATAGAATATGAAGACAAAAGTCATCGAACAAATAAAAAAATGAAGAAACCAGACCTTGCCCGACTCTGGGAGCAGTTCATATGCAGTACGGGTTGACAGTAAAACAGATATACGGTGACGAGACACTTCCAAATCAACTCCTGACACCCTAGGGATAGGTTCCTGGGATGGATCAGCCTATAATATAATCACCATGTAAAAACAGTCAGAAATTCAATTGGAATGTAGTCTTCAGAGACAATTTTATGGAACGTAAAGGCTCCTGCTTTATACATCAAATAAAATGCTATTAGCAATTTAGCATAAACTATTTCTAACACACATGTAGGACACTACATCTTTCCCTTTTTGGAGAAACGGTTGTCTCTTTCAAAGGTGTCAAATTTGCAATACAATAAAAAATAAAAGGAAGCGTTGCATTACAAGACCAAGCTACTGATAAGTAGACAAAATATCAATACATTGAATTTTAAGAAAAAGGTCAAATTCCTTACCGCTCGATGGGAGAAATCATCCACATCCATGTTAGATGAGTTAAAACCCGTGGGAACCATATCTGGTCCAGTAATCAATATTGTATTCACTACTCCACCATTTCCGGTTACAAATGGTTGGTGCTCATCGTGCCGCCACTCCCCATCAACATAAAACTTATACTGCATAAAAATAAAATAACTCAATTTAACATCAGAGGCTTCTTAAGCATATCTCAGGTCTTAATAATCAACCTCAAGTTATACATACTACGTCCAACACAGAAAATTCCAGAAACTAAAATAACCACTAATCTAACTCCGATATGCAGTTAAGAATCTTCAATGGCTACACAAATGTTCTAACGCTAGAGCCACGTCTAATATGCTACCATGGATTACATACTATCCAATGATGACACTACCTGTTGGAAAATGTACTCAACTATGACACATGTACATATGATTCTCAAGCATATTGCATTTATTAGCATCTAGAGGCTAAATGTATGAGTATCATATG